TTCCACAGTATTTATCAAATATTGTAACACAAATGATATCGGGAGTTTCCCAACAATGCATGGTAGCCTTATTGACTGTGTCTAATTGTTATGAAGAGGAAACAATTATTCCAATCAGGTTGAAAATCTTCCATGCATGATAACGCGTGATAACACTGTTCGTTATGTCTGAAAATAGAGTCACAATCATGCAGGGTTCAAATAATATGCACTTTAACAAAATGAAAGATATTTTGTTGTCAATTCTTAATCTTCATTAAATGAATCGCCAGATGCAGAGAGTTGGGAACTAAAAGGGCTTTAACTTTGTATACGAGTAGGCCTTATCGTCCTTATGGTTCTAACCAATGGTCGATCACCTTTCGAATTGATACTTTGAGCAGTGGCGTAGCTGGGGACATGGAGCACAGGGGCATGTGCCTGACCCCTTCCGAATGACGAAAATGGGGGAAAGGAAGAAAAGACAGACTATCGGAGAGAGAGAAAAAAAAGAAAGAGAGAGAGGGAAGGAAAGAAAGAGAGAGAGAGAGAGAGAGAGAGAGGAGGGGGGGGGGGGGGCGAGGACTCGAAAAGAGGATGAAAGAACTCCTAATAATTAGGACCTACATGCCAGCGTCACGGTGTCCCTTTATACAACTATCAGTAACCCCCCCCCCCCCCTTAAGGCCTACACAGTTTTAAACGGGGAGGGGGAGTGGTTCGCCGGTTTCAATATTACGATAGAAACCCGACTTTTAATTGATTCAAACTAGTTATGCGTTGTGCTTTGTTCCATTTTATTTGAGTAATATTGGCATCGATCAAGCTATTGTTATATTTCCTGAGAGAATTGCACTCACTATGAACTTTGACGAGACTGTAGGTTGAAGTATGGTTGGATATTAATGGTGAGAATTATTCAGTTCAATGGACATGAACGAGATTTGTCTTTGTCAAAATTAATGCAAAAACCATGAAGTTCATTCGAGGGTTGATTTTGATGGGTAATGTGTGTTCATGCAATCGACATTTTTACTGAAATAAAAAAAACCTTTATAAAGCAAACAATAAATGTATTAATAAAACTTTGTTTGACTTATGTGGATGTGAAGGGATAGGCGAATGCCGGAAAATGGTGTTCAAATTGTTGAATATTAATTGGCCCCCAAGAGGACTATGAATAGCGGCTTTTAGAAGCGAGGGACGTGCAGATTAGATATCTAAGAATACTGCATTCATCACATAATCTTTTTCTCGTTATGTCAATGGAGCTAAGAATAGCCCAATCTTCCCGAGCAAAAATCTAACTGAGAACTTGGTTTATTTTTGGAAGCATGGGAGCATGATTGTTAAAGTATGATTGACTAATCAACAATAGCAACCTCTTTCATGTTAAGAGTGATGGGTAATCGTGATCATTTAAGTCATGAGATACAATAAAAAAAAAGATATATAACAATATCGGAGACCCACAAACGTACCGTGTGAGCAAATTCTGATTAATTATGGTATAACATTTTATCCGGTTGTTAAATAATGGATTAAAAGACCTGTCGCTGTAGCTCTTCTTCATTTGCTATGCCAATCGTTCCCAACATTTTTTTTGCATGAATTGTGTTATTCTTTGTGATTTGAAAAAAAAATATTACCACTATGTACAAAATGTTCAAATTGTTTCGCTGATTATTATTGTATGAAAAATGCAGAAACCAATAAATTAATAAATCAATAATAAAAAAATTATTAAAAAAAAAAAATGAATAAACAGTGCATGGTAAATGGTATGAATACAGACGACATGTGTGTGTGTGTGTGTAATTGGGTTTTTACAGACGTGTATCAATCAGATATGATTATTTACGTCTGGGGACCGACTTTTAACGTCACCATCCGAAAGACGTGACTCAGTTTCGAACCTGCGTCCTCGGCTGAATCAGTTTGTAACTTCCACTGTTAGCTGGATTACAGGCGCACGCCACAATCATTATCAACGCGCACGCCATGGAAACGAAGACAAAGTGAACACAAGAGGGAGACATACAGCTAAATAGGACGGTCCTCATTGCTGCTTAGAGGTAGACCGATCACATGAAGCTCTGCCCCGGTTTACGGGGAGGGGGAACACACACCTAAACATCTTAATTAGACAAGCCCCACAAAAACCACACCAAACAAAGAATGATAATAGTAATCATAATAAAGATGATGGAACTAATAATAACAATACTTAAACATGTACTACTAATATAATATTCACTATCATCATCATAATAATCATTATCATCATCATAACAACAACTACGATGATGATGATAATAATGATTATAATCATAATTATGATAATAATGGAAATAATAATTCAAATAAATATACTACTACTACTTCTAATACTGAAGATATTCTGGATACACTGCTGACTAAAGGAAATTATGAACTGTTTAAGGGAGATTTATCCTAAATTTAAATGAGCACAAATTAGGAATGATTGTGTCTCTGAACTATTAACATTATTTAGCTTTAATGAATTTGGAGCAAAATGTAGCTAAAACTGGAGAGTGAAAAGTGTGACAGACGGACAGAGAATAAAGATCAAGACAATTTGCAAATTAATTGACCTTGAAATTATCTTATATAAGCACCAACACTTACAAACTATAATTTCTGTATTTGATGTTGCACACCTACAAAATGACACACAAAAGTTGAATGAACAAACACAGAATAGTTCTTTCTCATCATTATGATACTTTATTATTGCATTTACATACATACATTCATTCATTTACTAATTGTATACAAACAATAACCAAAATTATCAACACCATCATTTATTTCAATTTTTTTTTTTTTTATGTACTGTAAATTTATTTAAGGAATGAATTAGAATACCCAAATGAACAAAATGTGTATTCATATATATTTATAAGTATATATATGTTTAAATATACAACTGTATGTGCAGGATTCCTCCTGTGAATGTACAACATGTTTTCATCTGTACATATCGAGAGGGTTCATTCAGTCCCCCAAATTCTCTGTTTCATCTTTTATCTCAATTGTGAAAAATTTGAGATACGGGTCGCCAAGGCGAAAATGAGCCATCTTCAATGTACTGATCCCCTAAAATCTGATCTTAACATCTAAATGGATCAATTCTCAACTGATACTTTGATGAAAAAACCTGCAAGCCAAAATGGGTTTTAATTGCTTGATTCACATTGATTCTAAGGATAAACATCTTTTATTTTGCATTTTATATGTGTACTCCTCCCTGCAATGTTTGACTATGAAAACCACAATTCACATATATATTTGGAATATTGTCTGGCAGTTGCATCAATTTAAAATGAAGTAAAAGGGATAATAAGATAGTACTCAGCTTATATCATATGATACCAAGTTCTAAATATATTTCTGATTACTGATTGTCTTTAAAGCATATTTAAAAACGTTCATATCAATATAATATAATCCTTTTTTTTAATAATATTTTACTTTCCAAAATAAACTAAACTTTTGAGTTGGGTTGGTCAAACATAAATTATGCGTTTACACCACTTCACAGTACATGGGAAATCCAATCTAAATCCATACAATCTGAGTCACATAATAATGGGATGTAATATAAAGTGTACATCAAGATACTATTCCACAACTTAAAACAATTTAAACAAAACTTTTTTATGTATGCATATAATCTGTATTGTGTAATATGAAAAGATGGAAGACAGATTTTTTCAATAATTACCTTGTTATTTCACAACATGTGATTAAATAAATGATATGCTGTGCCTAGGCCTACCATTAACAGGCAATTTCCTGGAAGACATAGATAATATTTACAAGTAATATACAGGTAACAATGTAAAAATATTTCTTTAATCATGTACAAAATATTATCATTATTAATTTTTTTGATCTGAAATTCTGAAAATGAGAACATAATTATTCTGAAATACTCTCTTCTGGAAGAATCCTACAATTCTTTTCCTTGATTTCTAAACTTTGTTCTTACAGAATATCTCAAGAATTGATAATCAATACCTATGAAAAACAGTATTTACTTAAAATTTAAGATATGAATTCCACTTGACTCTCTTTTTACAAGCTAATGAGAAAACACTGGCATAAGAATTTTGAGGAGTTGTTTATGAGCAATATGAATTTCATGGAAAGATCGATTGTGTGGGCAAATAATGAAACAAATATGTTTAAAGAACTCATCAATATATGAAAATAATCTAATAAACAATAACGTGAAATAAATTAGTTGATAATGGAATCAACCAAATTAGACCCTTTCTTATTTTGTAAACATATAAGTCAAAGCTACGCTGATTTAAAGATAAAAGACAAAAAAGAAGAAGAAGAATATTATCAATTTATCTAACTTCGATGTTTACTTAAATAAATGTACTAAGAATGACTGCCAGAAGTCCAAAGTTGTTATATATTTTTTTCTTTAGAAATGTAAATATAGACTTTAGAACTATTTTCAAAAGTACATGTAATTAAATTTGTGCATACAATTCTAGCTTTGGAAGATATTTGAATAAACAAATTAAAAAAAAAAAATCTTGCCAAAGAATGGAACTAGGCTCGACTAGCACTTGTGCTAACTTCTAGTTCCTATTAACAACTTCACCTAAATATAGTAATACACATATTTACATAAATATCTTTTGTACATTTAATAGTATGCAGAGCTATGTCTAAATGTCGTTTAAAACCATTACTGTTCAATCAACATTACTCTTATGTTATGTATACATGTATCAGTATTATTCTTTGCATTATATGATTGTTCATATGTACTGTCATTATTGTGATGTGTTGTTGTTAATAAATTCAAATTCAATAGTCATTGTTCATTGAAAGAATATGAGAATTAACAATTATGCGAAAACAGAGATTAAGGGAAAGATAGAGAGAGACAGACTGACAGACAAAAAGATAGAGAGAGAGAGAGAGAGAGAGAGAAAGAAAGGAGAGAGAGAGAGAGAGAGAGAGAGAAAGGAGAGAGAGAGAGAGAGAGAGAGAGGGGGGGGGGGGTAAACAGGGTAAAATGAGAATTCATTTAACACATTACTAAGTACTGGGTATAGAATAACTGTTTCATTTTAATTTTGCTGACATTAGGAGTTATGCATATATTTCAAAAATCATGATCACTATTAATGATTTAGGAATACTCATATTGGCAATGCGGTCATGTCTGATGGGGTGAAATCGGACAGTTCTGTAACAAGAATAATCAATTTTTTTATTTTCTCATATAATAATGAAGGTCGTGCATAGCATTTTGGATTTTAAAAAATCCCTCAAACACATTCTGTCATATATTATATCATCATATATTTTCATTACATATTTTTGTCAAATATTATCGAACATAGTAAATGCTTACCGGTAACCATTTCCCATCGCTTTTTCAACAATAGAGACCGACGGAACAATCTTATATATCTAGAAATTTATCTTAACTTTTTGATTGCACTGAAGAAGAACTTACAATGAGTATCTACAAGGCAGAATAAATGCTGATATACAATTTCAGAAGTCAACGTCTGACAACACATTTACAGGTCGTTATGTTGCTGGACCTAGTCTAAATTTGGTCCACTGCTGATTAGGTCCAGAAATGAAAGTCACAGACATCGGTCCTGCAGCATCTAAGGTTTAACTGGCTAGTCTTTAAAAACCAGAGTTTTATGTAGAATTATTACCCTGCCTCTAGTTGCTCCACCACTGGACTTGATCTACATGGTCCATTAAGAACCCAGACCCACCTAGCAATAGAGGCGTCATGTATCCACGGAAACTAGTCTTGTGCGCTCTGTCTCTCGACTTGGTCTTACCCTGGTCTGGCAAATAGGACAGGTCTCATGTGAGTCCAGCCACCTTGAAACACAGCTGGAAGATGATTTAAAAAAAAAGAACATTACAAAAACAAAATACATTAAAACAGACTGCACTTGCAACTATTTTACCAGAATTACATATCACAGATAGGTATTTTGTCCCATTTTTTCTATATGAATGGTAAATCTATCAATGTCTCATTCACCACTAGTGACTAAGGACTAAAACAGTCGTACCAAAAACTTTAAAAGATGTATTTCAAATCATTCATAATCTCAGATTCAAAAGGTTCATAACTTTCCCATTCTTTGTCCAACTATTCAAAACATAAATCTTGTTCATTATTTTTTGTTTTGTTGTTGCTTCCAGTCAAGTTACCATATTAGACAGGGCTCAAATATAACAGCGGTCTGGTACACATGCCCCCCCCCCCACAAAAAAAGCATAAATAAATGCTTGTAGTAAGCAACTATTAGGAGGCGCGATAGCTCTGTCAGTAGAGCAGTGGTCTCGTAATCTGGTGACCCGGGTTCGAAACCAAGGCGATGCGCTAGTGCCCTTTGGTAAGGCATTAATTCTCATTACTAGGACCAACTGAGCTATCGCGCTTCCCCGAATAATTCCAAAAAGGACCCCCAATGGAAAAGGCTAAGGCAGCTCCTCAGGCAGAGAGGGGTTAATTCAAATCCCTTTAGGACTTACACAGTATGAAAGTTATGCTTGCATGGACACTGTCCTACTCGTTCCCCTAGTATGAACTCCTCTAAACACACGGCGCAAGCCTAACAACAAGGAAAAAAGAAAGAAATGTTAGTCCACTGCTCACTCTCACAGTCTCATCTCACTAAAACTACAACAACAAAAAACACATTGATCGGTTAAATAGTTATTTCTGTCAATACTTTTGGTGAAATAAAATGATCACTGGTACGTTTTTGTCATCAGCATCCTTTCTGCTTAAAAATATTGTACAATTTTTGGCATTATGGATCAAAAGATAACTCAAAATCATCACTAAAAGTAGACACTGTATTGCTATGAGTTATGCATCTATTAAAGGCATAGTTTAACAATGTTAAATCTGAGATGCATGGTCCTACGTGCTATCAGTATTTGTGATATGGTTTAATATTGAAGCCCTAAAAAAACTGTGCTTCAAAATGATCATGAAGTTCCTCAAAAAGTAAAAATCTTTGAGTGACCGGTTTTACCATTCTCATTTTCCCCACTAGACTGTAGTGTTATGAAAACCATTAGGAAAACGCAAAAATTCGATTTTGATTTCTAATCACAGATATCTTGATAATCAGACAGGCGATCGGCTTGTAAATGTCATGGGATTCATGTATGCCCTAAAGGTTTATAATTATGATTGCAGCATGAGCTAAATCAAGCAGTTTTTAAAAGGATCTGAGACAAAGTTACCAGATCCCTTTAAGAAGAGCGGTAAGACTATAGATTTCATCCCGACCTGTAAATAGGCCCTGAACTTAGCTGCTCTTAGCTACCACAGCCAAAGACTGAAAGTAAGGCTCACAGATTTATGGACTTTGATGATTTTGAGTGTCAAATAGAGTCTTGTGTCTGCAAACTAATCCTAGGTTACTTGCCAAATCCTATGTAACCCCCCCCCCCCCCCCATCCAGGAAGGATACAGTTCTCACATGCCAATATACATCTGTTTCTTACATTCTCATAGTTGTTTCCTCTCTTTATATAAGAGACCGGTGTTTCCTAGTGCTTCTTATATATTTTGAATTCAATGTCAAGGCACTTCCAATGCACTCTCAGAGGATACACCAACTATTTATATGAGCTGAGGCTCATCAATCTCAAAACAAAGCTGGCTAACACACATGCTACTGTTTTAACAACAAAAAGTAACAATTATATATAACTTGAACAAGTAATGGAGACAAGAGACCATTTTGAATGGGGGAAGGGGTGTTCGACTAACGCTGCAAAAAAAAAAAAAAATGTCAGCCACAACAATAGCGAACTCTGAAAGCCTGCCTGCACTAGTTTGGCCAGGAAGGATTAGACCTCCCTGCATGATCACTGACAGGTGATTATCTCATCAAATCAGCTTTCACTTAACATAAGAAAAAGGGGACCATGGAGGACCAACGGGTACCGCTTGGGCATTGTTTGCTATATAAAGGGCGCAAGTAGCTATAAGTAGTGCAGTACGGTCCCGCTTTAATTGGGAATGTCAGCACTCCCTCCTCCGTAGCAACATCCCCGATTGTGTTGTATTTTGCAAAAGTCAAATTCAAAATCAAAATCAAATTTTTTAATAGAAATAAAAACATGCAAAATCTTTTAAAAATGTCATTTCACATATTACCTTCTACAATAAAGGAACCTGCCCCTAAAACTTAAAATATATTTGAAGAAATAAAAAATAAAAAATGAAGTCCTTTTGTATCAGTTTTCAATAAATGTCCATCAAAATTTACTCTCTTCTTTGTGATTATTCTAATGATCATTAATATTTCCTGCAATATGGAGTCTAAATAATAATCAACTTACATCATTGGTCATCTTCTTGGAGTATTCAACCTAAATATGAAGTGAAAATAGAAAAGAAGAATAAGTGTAATATTTATTTACATGCATGAATTAAGCCCTGGATAACCATCGATCCTGAGAAAACTTCCTCAGCCCTACAATCATCCCCTCTTTTTTTAAAATCTGAAATCATAGAAACTTTCACCATTTTTGTTGGTTTTAATTTTTCATTTCAACTGGCAAATGGGCTGGACTTTCCCTTTAACATCCCGACACAAAACAGATAATAAAAACAATTATTTCAGCTACATGTATGCGGACATGATAAATCATCTTTTTTTTTTAAATTGTTAAATTTATTTTTGTAGTAGTATATAAAAGGTGGTAATTATCTGCATACCTGTACTGAAAGATATTGCCTAACCCACACATGTATATTCACACACACAAGCGCACACATGAATATGCTATACCGGTAGTTACCTGTTTGTATCCCATTTCAAATTGGCCTTCTCTCCTCAACCTAAATGTAATAAGAAAGAAAAGACAAGAGAACCAGGAAATACGGTTAACAGCTAAATTATTCATACCCCTTCCGTTACTCAAGAATGAAAGTTGAACTGGTTGAATTGGGGCCTGTGATGAATACTTTTAGCTGTAAGCTATAATATGTCATGTTCTCAAGAAACATAAATCAGGAATTATTTTTTTCACTTACTTTAAAAATTAGGAAACTTGGTTAGAGTAAGAATAATATAGTTGTTAATTGTATATCATAAGAGGAGAGAGATTAACTGAAAAATATAGAAATAGAATACATGTTGTATCTATCAAAAAGAAGAAAAAAATGCACAAACACATCACCATTTTCTTTATATTACTCCTGTTAAAATATATTTTTTGGTGAAGTTTGATGCTTTATTTATAAATCAAATCATTTCTAATGGCATTAACAGCAAGTGAGCCATTGAAATGGCCTTTGAGAAGAATGTGATGTTGTTTTCGTTAACAATGTTATAGGAAATTGGTCTACAAGTGTTTCTGTTCTTTTCTGCTCTTCAAATTGAAGAATAATTCAGTTACCTTTCAAAGATTAACATACATCATGGACTTTTCAAAAGCTAACTAGATTATATCTATATTCAGAGTCAAGGGCATTTCATCACTTTCTATAGATGGTCCTGTACGTGACAATTTAAAATCAAAGATGTAACGCATGATTGTTAGCAGAGTAAAAACAAAACAAAGACTTTGTATCTTACATACTTTCAAAAATATTTTACACAAAATACGACCCCTTTTGCATAAAAACAAGAACAACAAAAATGGGCTCTTAATATGAGCCCCTATTTGGGGCTTATTGAGCATACATCCACAAAAAGTACCCTATTTGGCGAAAACAGGTTCATATTCACATCCACATGTTTGTGAACATAGTGAAAATATGACCCTTTTTCTTGAAAAAATTTCTTGATCTTTCCAAAAACTTTTTTTTTTCTTCCTCCAAACCTCCAAAAAATTCAAGCGTCCCCGAAAATTAACCATTTAAAACAAAATAAAACAAAAAACTACCAAGCGTACACATTGTCAACACAAAGTTCAAATCCTTGGTTCTTTTCTTCTATTTCTATGGTAATACTCATCAACGCCTGTTCAGCATCTAGATGAAGGTGAAGCATAGAGTTGTTATATATAGCTCTATGCGGTACAGTTCCTGAAAAGGGAACTAAATTGTTTCAAGAGCCACCTTGAACCGCTCCAAAGAAGGCAGTTCCTAAACCACTTACTTGGACAGATAGCAACAGAAGACGATGTTGAGGATGAAGATGATTCCTGCTACCAGAAGAAACGGGAAGAGTTGCTCTATACTCATCCCCATCTCAGTTCATTATCATCAAAGAGAATGAGCGCATCCATGCAGGTGAATGATCCTTGTCCACTCACAGGCTAAGTCTCATGAAACCTCAAGTTTCTCCTAGGAACCTGTTGGTTAGAATGAAATATTTTTGAATAACAAATGGTTTTCAGATCCTCCTCTGAAAGCAGAGTTGGCAATTTACTTTTTAAAATTACAAACAAAAAATACAAAATGATCTATCATGATTTAAATCAGCAATTAAAAGTCATATTAATATTCATTACAATAATAATGATTATAATATTAATAATAATAATAACTATTGGATATTTTTATAGACTTGAAATAACATGTCATAGTACTGTTTATCAGTCATGAAATTTTTCACAAGTCAATTTCAGAATATAACAGCAAGATTTAAAAAAAAGCATGGCTTATGAAACATTCCAGGGGGCTCATGAAGCTCAGGGGTTTAAGGCATTTAATTACGGTCAGATGAGCATATTTTGATACCTTATTTGTGACACTGGCAGGTCACTATATGGTGTGGGGTCCAGGGCCCCCGGAAGCTCAGGGGTTTTAGGCATTTAATTACGGTCAGATGAGCATCCAGAGGGCCCTTAATGGGGTTCAGGGGACAGAGCCCCAGGAAGCTCAGGGATTTTAGGTATTTAATTACGGTCAGATGAGCAACCAGGGGCCCGCCTTATGGGCCTTGGTGGGGTCTTGGGGCCTAGCCCCCGTATTGTGACACTAGCAGGTCACTATTCTTTCTTTCTTTCCTTCTTTTTCTCCCCCCCCCCTCCGAGCTCCCCCACGTCCGGGGCCCCTGCACATGTGTATCAGAAAATGTGCCATCGGAGAATAAATGAATTAAATGATTACATAACTTCAGGAGCACTAATCTAGTCTTCGTCTTGATGGGTTTTACAATAATAAAATAATGTACAAATTACCTTTATCTGCCAATGCACAGATTGTACATTATTTTGCATGTATTTTATCTACAAACTGGCTTATTCACTCGACTTGTCTAATATAGCCATAGCATATAGGCACATGACATCCATGATTATCTAATTATCAGTACAGTACAACAGTCAATAGATCGAGTACGTACGTCAAAGGTGAAATAACAGCAATGTCATCGACAATCTACACTTGTTGTTAACACCTGTTGGAGATTTTTTTTTAAAAGTTACATTTCAGCAAGAGATCAGTAGGCTACGTACGGTTCCGATTTTAGGAGCAGCAAACTCCTGATCCTTTTGAGTTTCTGTTATTGTTATGAGAAGAGTCGGTCAGATTTCCAATTGTTTTACACGAATGTCTCAAGACAAAACGCCAGGCAGAATGCAAAACAAGTCAATCATGATTCGAGCGAGCTCGAGATCGCGATCGAGAGCCGAGGCCGAGTGCGGCCGCGGCCAGGCCGGGTAAATCTAGATCTGAGGTAGTCTACAATTTATAGATTTATCTAGAATACCTACATCTTCAGTAGACTTTATTTCACTCTAGGAATGTGTTGAGCTACACCTAATCAGCCAAATTCCAGAGATTCACTAACAGTCTAACTTTTTACAGGACAGTTGCTGGTACACCAAGGCTCGATTATTCAACAACAGATATACAGTGTACATGCATGTACGTACCGCGCGCCGGGGTCGGAGAAGTAATTATTAGGTAAACAAACAAAAGTACGTGCATAGTCTAAAAACGCATAGACGGAGATTTGAACTGGTGGTGGTGGTGGTGGTGGTGGTGGTGGTGGTGGTGGTGGTGGTAATACCTGACTGCTTAGAAAGCACAAATGCTTGTAAACAAGCAACCAGACGGCCTACGGCTTTAGGTCCTCTCCGAGGGACCTGGTAATGAGGATTAATGCCTTATGCAATTTGAAATGTGCGGTCATGAGAATATTGTTTTCAATTCCCTGCTAAATTAAGTCGTAAAACAGATCTGATATTACCAACCAACTATTAATAGGAACGCTAGACATATATGATCAAGGAGGAGGAGGAGAAGGACGTGATGGTGGAGAAGGAATCAATATATCTTTCTTTAAAACCTACAACTTCAGAGTAAGATATGCTCTTGATCTGGGACGGCGATCCCGGGGGGACGGGGGGGGGGGGGGGGGGGGGACACGTCCCCCCCCCCCTTTTTAGGGGGGATTGTCACCCCCCTCCCCCTGGACAATTTGCAAAAGTGCACATACAAAAAAAGTGTATAGCAAATACTGACTATATCAAAGACTGCAACAAACTTTAGGCTATGGACCGGAGGGCCCAACAGAGCGGCGTTTAGAAAAATGAAATGCAAAAATCTTCTCGCTCCCTCGCATAATATCCTTCAATGTGTACAAGTAAAATATTGTAGAAAAATAATATTGCTTATTTTTAAACTATAGTTTTTTAATACCACAAAACTTCTAAAACCTGTGAGGGGTAGTCACTTCCGTCACCTTCACCCCTCTCGTTCACTATGCTCCCTCGCACTGGCGTAATGGGGCTACGGCACTTGACCCCCACCTGGTCTTTGCCACTAGACCCTACACCAATTTACGTTCCCCTTGCTTTGCTCGCTTTACCCCACCTGATCGTTAATACATCAGGCCCCCCCCCTCCACACTTTGAAAAAACTTTCCCCGGGGCCTGCATGTAACATGTAAGAGCGGGTATGATGCAGAACTTTTTTGATGCACCTCCCCCCTATCCTGGGGGGTGTTTCACAAAGATCCTAAGTAGAACTTAACACTAAGTTGGACTTAAAAATTATGGAAAGCCATTAGCATCTTTGAAAATATTTTGTAAAAGTTATTTTGAAAGGCTTTAATTGTTTATTCAAATCATTCATATTTTCTATCATCAAGGAGATTTCATGTTCTTGATGTGAAATTTATAAAAAAAAGTCTAAAATACTTGAATTTCTGCTTTTGAATATATTTCATTTTAAGGCTCCAATGGCTGTCCATAATTTTTAAGTCCAACTTAGTGTTAAGTTCTACTTAGGATCTTTGTGAAACACCCCCCAGGAGTCTGTACTCCTCCCCACCCCTTACAATCCACCGTAAAGCACCTTTTGGTAAAGCTCTCATCCTGCCAGAACTAGAAATTGTATGTCGCCCTCTCATGTTGAAACTCGAAAGAGAGAGAGAGAGAGAGAGAGAGAGAGAGCGAGACAGACATACAGATCAGACAGGGGAGAAGGGAGAGAGGGAGAGAGGGAGGGAGGGAGGAGACAAATGTAATTATAGTAAAGGAGAGAAGTATATTCAGTAAAAGAAATACAAAGATATCGGCCTATGCACAGTTAAAGAGAGAGAGAGAGAGAGAGAGAGAGTGATAAGAAGAAGAAAAAAAGGTCTATACAAGCGCCCGTTGTGCACCATCAGACAATTTAGGTTTTTTTTTTTTTTTTTGTCTTTCTATAGCATTTTCTTTTCACATTGAAGAATAATATTAATTCCGATACTTTCCGAACACTCAAACGGTCACGGCGACGATGTACGAACTTTCCCGAGTAGGACTGCAATGTCAGGAACATGACTGGATCGTGACGTCATCGAGTCAATTGAAATATAGTTATATTGGCGTGTTGTAGTCAGATTTCGTAGAAATAAACAGGATTGACGTGATACAACATCAAACTGATTTCATTTGGTATTCTTCCATGAAGTGTTGATGACGTTTAATTTCTCGGAACTTCTTTTTCCTCATAATTATTGTAGATTTCCAATAGATGGGTTGTTTAAAAAAAACTTCTTTAAATTACCCTAAAGCTTGATGTATACTTCCTGTCAACAGTTGCGCCCTCACGTAGGTGCTCTTACAAAATAATATCAAATGTCCCCTTATTGTCATAGACACAATCAGTACTAACGGTTTAGATACACAACTGGTCCTATCTTTGGGCAAACCAATAATCATTCGAAAGAATTTTATTCTATTGACATGGCTGAAGAATCATCGAAAATTCGACAGAATATTAGTTGGACATTGTTAGATATAAGAAGCCCCCAACTTTTGGCACCCTTTCGAGTTGCTCCTTAGGTAAATGTTGATATTTTCAGTTTATATTTAAGATGTCTTATAATGATATTAATGAAAGAGAATATTTATTGAGCGCATAATAAATCTATGCGCTTTACAATTATGACAAATTCTATACAACATAATAAATAAGCAAATAACAACAAAATATTCATGGGAAAGTAAACCGATTCACCTATAATTACAATTAAGTAAAACTACTTGACATGACATAATTATTACAAATCCCACAAACAGACACCCATTATGAACTAACCTTCTAACCAGCAAAAGGACAAAGCAGCTCTAGGAAACACTCGAAAACAAATAAGTTTGAGGGCTCTTATATACTATAAGACATGAAATCAACTTAATTGTGTTCGAATGAAACACAAGAAATCAGATTTGTCTGGAGGGGTGTGGTATTTTGTGAAGGCTCTTGACTCTAATACGAGAGGTCTGAGGTTCAATCTTTGCTGGGTGCTAACACCCTTGTCCCTCTCGATCTCAGGTTTACTATACGGTTATGCAATGGGGGAGGGGGAGGGGGTGGTAATATAAGTTTCTCGCCCGATTTCATATTATTGTTACTCAAATCAATTGAGGTGCATTCAAATTCCTGCATTTATATCGTCGTACGATCGATATTGGTCTTTCAAATTTAAAATCCAGGCAATGGAATTTATTTGGAGACACGCAAATTAATTTGGTTGGTTGGTTAGTTGGTTTTATTTTCCGTATAAAAATTCAAATACATACAAGAATAAAATTTACAAATATAATACAAATCAAGAATTAAAAACGGCGGGAATGTTCCATTCAGAGCCATTATCAAAATGGCTCTGTTCTTCCTAGAGGTCCAGAAATAATTAAACATGTAGATGACAATAATGAAAAGCATTAGCTAAATTATTGATGTATATTAGAAATAAAATTGGGCCAAGTATGGGAGCCTTGAGGGACACCATACGTCAATATCAATTCATTGGAAGAAACATTATTTATCGAAGTAAACATTTGACGGTTAACCAAATATTCATAAAACCACTTATGCATTATACCGTTTATACCAACATTAGTCAATTTTCTCAAGAGAATTCTGTGATCGGCCAAATTGAAGGCTTTTCGCAGATCGACAAAAAAGTGCTCCTGTATAAACCCTTATCAACTGATTCGTCGCCATTCGTCCGTAACCTTTGTAAGAGCGGTACAGGTAGAATGTTTCGACCTGAATCCAGATTGATCTTTGGTTAAAATGTGTTTTCTGTTGCAAAAATAGGATTAAGTGTTTTTGTACAATCTTTTCTAATATTTTGGACAAACACGTTAATAAAGATATCGGTCTGTAATTATTAGCTAAAGCTTTACCACCCTTTTTATGAAGGGGGATGACCTTAGCCACCTTCCATCTGGAAGAGACTGTACCTTCAGACAATGACCTATTACTTAGGTATGTGAGAGGTTCCACAATTTCCAGTGCACAGGCTTTCAGCATGTAAGAATCTATTCCATCAACCCAACTGATTTCTTACTATTTAATCGATAGATTTCTTTCAGAACATCTGACTGTGTAATCACAGGAACAGAAAGGGTATTTTCTGTGCTCTCAATGACTTCTGTACTTTCAAACTCTTCGTAACTGATTGGAAGAAACATTATGATACATGTATAACCATTACTGCTACCAAATTGATTTCCAACATTGACAAAATGTTCGTTAAAATCATTTGCTACTCTTTTACATTCATCGATAGGGAAGGGAAAATTTGTAGCTGATTTCGTATTGGGATTTAGTGTTTTTAATACTCTCCAAGATTTCGCTCTATCCGTACAAGCACCTAGGTTTTCAAAGAAATAATTTTTCTTTACTCTCCTTATTTCAAACGTCACCTTAGTTCTCAAGTGTTTGCATTGTTTCCAGTAATTGTCTTGTTTTTTTCGTCTTTGCTTTACCTTTCATTTCATCACTATCTTTCATGAGCTTAAATATACATTCATTCAACTAAAGGGAGTGTTTTTTGCGTACCCTTTTCTTCTTCAATGACATGTATTTGTCTATTGTGTCTGAAAGGGTACTTCCCATTTGTTTACATGTTACAGCTTTATCGAGGTCAATACCTTCTTCTACCTCATCCCACTTCTGCGATCTAAGATCGGCATTCAACTTTTCAAAGTCTACCTGATGAGATTTTCTAAATGTTACATAATTTACAAAAGAATCATCATGATTGACGTGAGCTTTCCAGACTAAGTAACTCATAATGATCACTCAAACCATTGTGTAAAATAGCTTACTTCGTCCGAGCAAGTTGTTGTGATCAATTAATGATGAGCACTTAGGCGTTACTCGAGTGTAAACAGATTTATTAATTTGACACAAACCATATAATTAATTTGTGAATATTTACGAGTATCGCAAGTA